GGCACAATTCAGCTTTGAATGCTTGAGACAGGGTTGAAGAATCAGGAAAGTGGACTGAGTCATTTACTAAAATAAAACAAGGCCCAAAAGAAGCCTTCATTGATTTTTTTTTTAAACAAGGATTGACTTCAGCTGTAAATAGAATTATATCAGATCCAGAAGTTGGATTTATTGAATCTTAGGCTTTTTGAGAATGCTAATTCAGAATACAAAAGGGTGATTAGGCCTTTAAAGGCAAGATTGGTACCAGTAGATGAATGGATCTGAAATACAGTTGATGTTGAATCCCATGCTTATGATGTTGCTTTGATAGAAGTAATTTCTAGGGCTGGAGAGATGGCTTAGCGGTTAAGAGGTCCTGAGTTCAATTCCCAGCAACCACATGGTGGCTCACAGCCACTTTGAATGAGATCTCGTGCCCTCTGCTGGCAGGCAGAAGACATAATAAATAAATAAATAAATAAATAAATAAATAAATAAATAAATAAATAAAATCTTTAAAAAAAAAGAAGTAATTTCTAAAAATTTTAAGAAAAATAAAAAATATCAGATGTTTTAACTGTGGTAAACAAGGTCATTTGAAAAGGTATTGTATGCAAGATGTTCCTAAAAACAATGTGTTTTTCTAGAGATAATCCAGGCAGAAAGCCCTAGCCTTCTGGAGTATGCAGAAGGTGTGTCAAAGGCTGGAATTGGATTAATGAATGCACATTAACAGGGGACAGGCAAGGCAACCCTTTGCCATCAGAAAACACAATGAACCAATATCAAATTTGGTTCAATCATCTCCTGTCAGCATTGGAGAAACTCATCCACAGAACAATTAAAAGACTTAATACTTGCTGTTAAAAACCACACTGCTCTGGCTATTGTCAAAGACAGAACAAGAAAAGGTTCTATCTTTGATACAACACGGATAAATACAACAAATGTTCAAGAGAGACAAGAAAACAAGTATTTTGACAAACTGCTATAAATGATTAGAGACCAAACCTAAAAATACATGCAAATGGCATCAAAATTGAGGATTTAGTAGACACAGGTGCAGATGTAACAATAATTTTACCAAAATTTTGGCATCCAAATTGGCCTCTTCAGGTGGTAAATGTTCAGTTTCTAGGGATTGGAACTTTATCAGGGAGAAAAAGTGCAAGATGGGTCAAATATATGGACAGCAAGGAAAATTAAAACCATATGTGGCCAACATAGCAATGAATTTACAGGGATGTGATTTGTTATACCAATGAAAAATGCAGATTATCATTCTTCCAATCTCAGAAATAAACACAAAATAAAGAATGCTTCTGAGAGAAATATTAACAGGTGTTATCAAGAATAGTAACAGGAGCTGGAGAGGTGGCTCAGAGGTTAAGAGCACTGGCAGGTCTTCCAGAGGTCTTGAGTTCAATTCCCAGCAACCACATGGTGGCTCACAGCCATCTGTAATGAGATACGGTGTCCTCTTCTGGCCTGCAGGCATATATGGAGGCAGAATGTTGTATACACAATAAATAAATAAATCCTAAAAAAAGAATAGTAACAGATATTGTAGGTCCGTAGGCCCCAACATTAGAGAGTAACCCTGGGGTGACTGTCCAGGCAGCAGATGTCTTTGCCATTTCTTAGTTTTGGAAGTTTCTTGCTCTGCACTTTCTGTTTATTCGGGTAATATTATATCCTTCTCGGGCCTCTGATAGGGTTGAAGATTAGATAGTTATAGTTACAGTTTTCCATAGTTATGATAGAAAGTAATTAGGTACAAAATGTTGTACTCACCAAGATAAGATAGATAATAGAGTATTTTTTTTCTGAATTTGCCAAATGCTAATGGGCTGGACATTGTGAATGTATTTCTTACTTGATAATTATTCTTACTGTTTATAGTTTTACTATATTAGAGTTAAAACCTTTCCTTTTTATTTAGACAAAAAGGAGGAAATGTGGGAAAATCATTTGTACAGCCATTCCACTGTGTTGATAAAGCCACCTTGAATCAAAGGATGGATTCAGCAAATGGCTGACCAGGATTAGCCATAGAGTTCTTGGAGGACTGAGGAGGTCTGCTAGAGAGGACAGGAAGAGAGAAGAGAGAATTTCCAGGGAATTTAGAGATGGTAGTTCAGAAAAAACATAGAGAGAGGGTCAACCAATCCACTCAATGCTGTCCTTGGATTTATCAGGTCTTTTTTTTTAAAGATTTTATTTATTTATTATGTATACAACATTCTGCTTCCATGTATATCTGCACACCAGAAGAGGGCACCAGATCTCATAACAGATGGTTGTGAGCCACCATGTGGTTGCTGAGAATTGAACTCGGGACCTCTGGAAGAGCAGTCAGTGCTCTTAACCTCTGAGCCATCTCTCCAGCCCGATTTATCAGGTCTTTATCTCAATTTCTGACTCCCTAGTTTTTATTATACTGGAACAATTTAGACATCCATTACAAACCTGTACATGGCCCCTATTCACTTGATGTTATCTCTAGACCATAATAATCTGAAGACTCTAAGTTCTGTGTATCACTGCTCCCAATATCACATAGGGAAGATGATGAAGTAAACAGATCTGTAGAGTATGAAGAGGAATTTACTTGGGTGAGAATGTTTCAGAGGACATTGGGACAGGAGGATGGACAAGAACAGGAAAAGACAGAACTGAAGGGAAAAGGGGTTGGGTAGCGCAGAGGGGGCTGGACAGGGGCCCATGAAGTATTGCTCTCAAGGTCTAGGTACCAGTCTGTGCCAAGAGTTTCTGCAGATCTTCCCTTTGTGACTGCTACCTTTTGTGTCCAGTACCTTCTGTTTGAGTATGTAAATCTTACTTGAGAGTTTCCTAAGGGTTTAAAAAGCCTATGCAAAACCTGGTCACAGGAGGACTAAGCAAACTGAGATGTCCTGGGACTTTGGAATTTGCATAGGTATTGTCTCTTTGGGGAGCTTGGATAAGTCCTTTGTTAAGCTATAGTGAGTCAGTTCACCAGAGGCTAACCCCCCCCCCCCCCCACACACACACAGCTGGAAAGGCTAAAAAAAAAAAGTCCTACACCTGATTCTTCACCAGTCTCGGGCTGGGACAAGTCTCTGCCCTTGGAACAGTAGGAAGGCAGGGCCAGCATTAACTCTCTGCCTTTCCTTTTTTGTTGGGATTCTCACTACCCTCCTGGCTAGTAGAGGGTACAGGCATTGATCTGTAAAAGGGCTCTGACTGGCAGGGAGCTAGCCCATCTTTGGACCTGTGCAGCACCTAGCTCTGTTGTTGTGGGAAGACACACGGCTTGTCTCTCGATACACTAGGACAAGAGGGTCACTGGCAAAGACTTTAAGCTAGAAAGTGCTCTGTGACCTTGAGTGAGTCATGACCCTCCCTTTCCCCCTCATCCCTCCTCTTCTTTCCCCTGCAGTTGTCTGCCCTCCTTTCTGTAGACCAGCTGCCTTGGCCACTGGCCAGGACTGAGGCTGGAGAGCTGCTGGGGTTGTTGAAGGCAGGACTGTCTTCAGGGTCCAGGAATGTTTTTACTCTCCGCTCTGCTGAAAGGAGAGCAGCAAGGCCCCTGGGTTTCTTCCCAGCTGGGTCAGAGGGATCTCCTCTTCCCTCAAACTGTAGGAGCCCCTCTTGCCAGCCATATTTGTGTGTCTGGGTGCTCTTTTATTTTAGCTCTGTATAGACATGAACCCTGACACAGTTGTGGCAACTCAGGACCCTGGGCTATTTACAAACCCAAAGGCTTACCCAGGTCCCAAGTAGCTGTGAATGGTGGGCATTTTCTCTGCATGGCTTTAGGAAATGGCATGAGAGAGTGGAGTATAGGCAGGTCTTAGAGTAATGCTGAGGGCCCTGGGGAAGAGAAGTGCCCCCCCCCGCAGGGTGGTATCTGCAAGCCCTTTTGTAGGTTCTCTGGAGGAAGAGAAGTCTGCTTGTGTGCAGGCTGTCAAAGGAACATGAGATGAAGGGACTAGCTCCCCATTTTGGCAGCCATAACAGCCTAACACGTGCTTGCCTGATCTTGCCTTGGTCACTAGGAGGTCAGATGCCTGCCTCATGGCAAGGAACCAATCAGAGGTTAGCTGGTGGTGCTATGTTTTACGGCTTTGGGTGTGCTTTACGAACAAATGCAAAGCAATGAAATGCAGAGCATAGCAACTGCCCTGGGAGGGCCTATGGGCCATAACAACCAGTTGACCAATCAACACAGGGCAAGCCCTCCAAGCCTGGAGGCACACCAATCCTGAGCCTGTGTGTACCCCTAGACACTGCCCTTACGCTGCCCTATAAGATCTCTATCCCTTGGCTTCTCAGCACTTTCCCCAGCCATCTGCCATGGTGGATGGATGGAAGGCCCGAGCTAACATGGGGTTAGCTTGTTAAACAACTGCAATAAAACCTCTTGCTGTTTGCATCAAGTTTTCCCCTCCACCTGGTGATTGGGGTCATCGTGGTCCTGGGCCAAAATCCTGGGGGCCTGAGTGTCCGGGGGTCTTTCAGAGACAGTGTATTGTATTGTATTATTTTTAAGACAGACTCAAGCCTGAGAGGAAACATCACTCTGGGTGTGTGAACTGTACTTTTACAGGACAGTTTGGGGCTGTGTGTACTCAGGGTAGGGGAGGTGGAACATATGGTAAGTTAGAGAGCTAACATGACATCAGTACCACCAGATTGGACTCCAGGAAGCAAAGGTTCAAAACAGTAATGGCTTCTACAACTGGACTCTTGCTTCTTCCATTTAAAACAAAAACAAAAGCAAATCTTGGACTGGAGAGATGGCTCAGCAGTTAAGAGCACTGACTGTTCTTCCAGAGGTCCTGAGTTCAATTCCCAGCAACCACATGGTGGCTCACAACCATCCTGAATGAGATCTGGTGCCCTCTGCTGGCATGCAGGCACAAGACTGTATACATAATAAATAAATAAAATCTTAAAAAAAAAACAAAAACAAAAAACAAATCTAGCCAAGACGGAAGCTCCGACTGTGAGCAGGCCAGCCACTCTGGACAGGAAGGCACAGAAAGCATGGAGAATGATGAACTTCTGCCAGCGGATGGGATGGATTGGAGTGGGATTGTATTTGCTAGCAAGCGCAGCAGCATTCTACTATGTTTTTGAAATCAATGAGACTTACAACAGGCTGGCTTTGGAACACATTCAGCAGCACCCTGAAGAGCCTCGGGAAGGAACCACATGGACACACTCCTTGAAAGCTCGGTTACTTTCCCTGCCCTTTTGGTTGTGGACAGTTATTTTTCTGATACCATACTTACAGATGTTTTTGTTCCTTTATTCTTGTACAAGAGCTGATCCCAAAACAGTGGGCTACTGTATTATCCCCATATGCTTGGCAGTTCTCTGCAATCGCCACCAGGCATTTGTCAAGGCTTCCAATCAGATCAGCAGACTACAATTGATTGACACATAAAGCTGGTCTCCGTTTTGTCCCTATGATTACAAGACTGCCATTACATTATGGAGGTTGATCACAAGACTACAGTTTCTTCACAAATCTCAGGAAGTTGTGGTGGAACAGAGACTTAAAAAATGTGACAAGAGGACTACTTTATCTGAATAATAATGACTTTTTAGGTAAAGCCTGAGAAACAGTACCACAGAATCATGTTAATAACTTCAGATTTTGGAAGTAAAACAGTGGGTTGTTATTTGCAATCTTTAGAAACTTGAAAAAGTACCTGAATTTTTATTTCTAGTCTATGTGCAACATAGTATGATTCAGAAATTTTTCCGTTGGGGAAAACAATGAATATTTCCATTGTGTTAAGTGTAAGGTCTGGCCGTGATCATAAAATTTAAATTTTATACAAAAAAACAACAGCAACAACAAAAAACAAATCTAAAGCCAGGTGATCCACAGCTGCTTTGTTTGAGCAGAGGCCATGCTCCTTCCCTTACTGTGTGGCCCTCAGGGTCCAAAATGGTGCCTGTCACATGCCCTTCCAGGAAGCAGGATCAAAACAAAGACAGCAGAAGGATGAAGGAACAAAAAACCAAAGGAAGAATGTCAGGATTGTTTGGGATGGTTAGGCTCCCATTTCATTGGCTAGTATTACTTACATGACTGCCTGGGGCAAAGGAAGGTGGGAAATGCTTTTGTTTTGTTTTGTTTGTTGAGACAGTGTTTTTTCTGTGTAGCCCTGACTATCTCTGAATATAGTCTGTAGACCAGGTTGGCCTTGAATTCACAGATCTGCCTACCTGTGCCTCCTGAGTGGTGGGATAAAGGTGTGTGCCCCACCTCCTGGCTGTCTGTGGTACTTGACTAAGGCAACAACATCATCTTTGTGGAAAGGGAGATGGATACTGAAAGACAATCTCTTCCCTAGACAGTATTTTCAATAGCGTTCCACTGCAAAAGCCCATGAGTTTGTGATTATCAGACTCCGTCACTAGAGTGAAGGCCTGAGGCTTGCCCTCTACCAGTACCTGACTAGAATGGTATGCATGAGATAGCTGAGAGAAGACAGCAGGGCTTCAGGGAGAATAGGGGAGGGACAGCATCTCCATTCTCCACACTACTGCATCCCATCCCTATATCAAAGCCTCTCATGTTCTTTTGTTTGTTTGTTTGTTTTGTTTTTCAAGACAGGGTTTCTCTGTAGCTTTAGAGCCTGTCCTGGAATTTGCGCTGTAGACCAAATTTGAGGCTGGCCCCAAACTCAGAGATCCACCTGCCTCTGCCTCCCAAGTGCTGGGATAAAGGTGTGTACCACCATGCTGCCTTTCACACTCTTGTGAGCTTAGCAACTGCACCCTTACCTTCCTGGCTGCAGTGAAACATTCCTCTAAGGCAGACGATCTGTGGAAAGCATTTATTTCCACATTTATGAGAAGATGAAGGTGACGCTCTTGTCCACTACTGTCCCGGTAGTGGAGTTACCTGCAATTCATTGTGGAATTGGCTTCAATGGTTCTCTTTGCCTACCAACATCTTGGGAACCACAGTGGCCCTCTTGGCAGCATACCTGTTTTTATTCTGAGGAACTGCCCCTCCTCCATCCCAGATTCAGTGCATGAGGTTCTGGTAGAGCAACTCTACTCTTTCTTCTCCATGTGGTGGGCACTGTGCCCAGGTCTAGCTTGTTAGAGTCATGGTGATGGAATCTAGGATCAGATCACAATCCAGCCTAGGCCATTCTGAGACTTGGGAGACTGGGCATTTTGCTGAAGTCACTGGGGAATAGGGACAAGGGGATCTTTCCTACTGGAAGCACAAGCTGAGGGTATGCTGATGCTAGTCTGGAATTGCTGTTTTTGTTACTATAGGGAGAATTTGATTGAGAACAAGGAAAGGCTGGGCAATGGTAGAGTGGTGACCTAGCATATATGAGACCCCAGGTTCAATTCCCAGTACTGGTGTGTAAGGGGCCAGCAGACCCTTAATGACATCACTCGGGCCTTTGGGTCTAGCCATTCCTGAAGCTGGATTCTCTGGTGACCAGTCAATAATTCTCTTAGCTGTTTAAGTCAACTTAAGCGGGGTTTTCATCACCCCACACTTGCAAATGAAAATGTCCCGATGTGCCAACAGATAGAGTCCTGTCTGAAAGCAGGTAGAAGAACGTTGAACTCTTCAGAGTTGTGGGGGAAACGGGTGTGTTAGCTAGTGCATGTTGCAAATAAGTGTGTGAGCTGAGTGTCCACAATGTGTGTGTGTATTCATGCTGTGTGGAAATTGGTGTGCAGCAATATGCTGCATGGAAGCTGCATGAGTGCATGTGACCATGTGTCTGAATGTGTGCCTGCAGTGATCTGTGTGAGATGTTAATGGAGCACATGAGTGTGACAATCAGTGTAACTGAGAGTGTGTGAGACTCTCCTCACAGTACCAGCATAACCTTTAGAAAACACTCAGGCCCCCTCAACTGAAGAATGGATAGAGAAAATATGGTACATTTACACAATGGGGTACTTCTCAGCAGAAAAAACAATGGAATCTTGAAATTTGCAGGAAAATGGATGGAACTAGAAGAAACCATTTTGCGTGAGGTAACCCAATCACAAAATGACAAACATGGCATGTACTTACTAATATGTGGATTTTAGACATAGAGTAAAGGATTACCAGCCTACAATCCACACTGCCAGAGAAGCCAGTAAACAAGGAGGACCCTAAGAGAGACAAACATTGTCCCCTGGAGAAGGGGAAAGGGTCACGATTCCCTGAGCAAATTGAGAGCACGGGAAGAGAGGGGAGGGAGCTCGGAGAATGAGAAGAGAAGAAGAGGAGGGATGCAGAGGTCATGAGGGAGCAGAAAGGTTGAATCAGGGGAAGAATAGAAGAAAGGATATGTGATAGGTAGGGTTTTAGTTGGGGGTGGTAGGGGAGGAGGGAGGGAGAAGGGAACTGGGAGTGTCATGTAAAACAATCTTGTTTCTAATTCAAATAAAAAATGATTTATAAAAAAAGAAAGAAAGAAAGAAAACACTCAGGCCCTGCAGAGGGTCCCACAGCTCTTAAGACAAGTCTAAGCCCTGGACAGGTGGGGTCCCTTCCCCTCGGGGCCTCTTTGACCTTCTTCTGTCCTCAGGCCCCTCCTCCATTTTCCATGCTGACAACAGCTGGTGGTTGCTGCCACCCCTGGCTTATGCTGACAGCTGCAAATAGAAGTGGCTCCTGCAATAGGGTGGCCCTGCCCAATGAGACAAACACGTACTGCCCAGGAGCCCGGCAAGGGTGGGAGTGGAGCTGTCTTGGAGCCCAGGACAGAGAGAATGTTGACATACTAACATGTGAAACCTTTTCCTGACAATGACAGGCCTGAAAATCCCCAGGCCTCCGTTTTCAACTACCAAGGTCATGAGCTCCTTTGCGGCGATGCAGCCTTTGGAGTCTGGCAAGGTGCTCTCTGCTGCCATCTGCCGGGCACTTTCCCCTTGAAGGATGTGGAGAGCAGCCAGCCCGGGCCAAAGCAGCTTCCTCTATCTTTTTGCCATCCCAGGCAGCCAGTGGGTTGGGTTGGGCTTTCCAGGATTGAGAACCCGGCTTACTTGACACTCATTGTAGGTCTGACATTTGGTCGATGTAGCTGTCCCCACCTCAGGGCAACAAGACCAGGCTGGCAGTCCAACCTGCTTTTATGGGTTTCTGGACTCCACCTGCAGGATTGTGCTGAGCTGGCCCATGCCTGGTGGGAGATGACAGGGACACAGACACCTATGTGCCTGGACATCATTAACCTCCAGACAGAAGAAATACCAAGGTTCAGATCATTGTGCTAGGCACAGAAGCATGTCCATACCTTTCTCCTCCACTATCTGACTTCACAGGTCCTTTTAGCTCTCCCCACCCCCCACTCCTAACCTAGCAGGGCTCCACCCTGTTACTCTTGTAGAAATAGAAAAACCCGCTGAATACATCCCTTCTGCCAACCCCTACCACACATGACTTGTTTCTGTCGGCTTAGGTCTGGACAGATAGGTACTTCCCCTAGCTTCCTCTGCCACTGAACCTTCTTGCTCCTGGCATCTGTGGGGCATCACTCTGTTAACCTTCCACCTGAGCTTGGGTTCACATAGCCCACACTCTTGGCCCCACAGGCCTCAGGGCCCTTATCCAGCGCTGCCTACTGTGCCTGCCTCAGTGACTTTCAGGAACTCTGTGGGCCTCAGGAACTGTAAATCTCATTTCTAAATGAGATGACTCGGTTTGCCATCCTCTGCTCTAATACATTGCATGTCTCTCATCTATGGGGGCCCAGGGTTATTCTAGACCCATTTCCACTTGCTGGAGACCTACAGGCATGGCTGGGTTTCCAGGCTGGTGTCTTTTAGAGAACTCAGGAGCTATGTGATGGAAGTTTCATCTACTTTATATCCACAGTGTGCAGCAGGGTTCTGGCGAATGACATATGGCAGGCTCTTGGTAAATGCTCACACAAAATGAGCGGGCTTGATCAGACCAATATGTTCCTGTGGAGAACAACAAGAAGCAAGCAGTTCCTCAGTGTGCATTCTGTCCAAGCATTTGCTAAAGTCAACAGAAAAATCCTTACCCAGTCCTCAGACTACTCAGAAGGTGGGCGAGACTCTTAGGAGACCCATATTCTACCGGAGGGAACTGAGAGTCAGACATTAAGTGAATGGATCTGTCATACCCACAATTCCCACTCAGCTCTTGTCTTACCCATTGTCTTGGACCGTAACCCTGCACACCCTTGCCTATGTGATGCTCTCTGACCCCCATCCTCTCTCTCTCTCTCCCCTGCCACCCTTGTCTGGGCCAAAGATCTTTCTTCTGTGCCCTCACTTCAGGCTTAGCCGAGGGCCATAGAAGTTAGGGTGTGTCTTCAGCAGATGTCAGAAGCCGGGGTAGCTGAGCAATGGAGGAGATAACAGGCACACCCATGCTCCTCCATTTGGCTAAACAAGCTTCAACAGGCCCATTGAGCTTCTCAAACCTCAGGTTTCTAAAATGAGCTCTGAACGAAGGGGAAAGCACTGCAGAGGCTGACCCTGAACCCAAAGCAATTGCAGGCCTGTTTTTAGACCCTGGGCCCTTCCCTTGTTTCCATGTCCCTGTGGTGGCCTGATAAAACTCTGCTCCTGAGTCCTGAAGAAGATGGAACAGAAGTGGCATGAGAAGGCATCCAAGGAACTGTGGAGGGTGAGGGCACATTATGAGATGACTAGTAGGTTGGTTCAGAGGCAGGCAGGAGGAAGAGAACAGGGAAC